CAAACATGAATGTTTATCTTTTAATGTTTAATTTTTTATGCATCAATTAACATGCAAAAAAATGTCTTCATTGACAATAGAAAAATCTATACAGTATTCTACGAATTTTCTAATTCTATTCCAAATTCTAATGTAATCAGAAAAAAATATTTTGCACTATGCCATCGGTCTTCGTTATTACCAATTATTTGTGATTTGTAATTTTATTGGAACTGCCATAGAAACTATTATAGTCAACACTTATATGAGGGGCTAAATTGTTATAGTTAGTTTTTTTCCTGAGACTCAATTTGGATGCAGCCATTGTTATCTCAGATATAATGTATCGTAAACATTTAATTTTTGTCCTATTTAGCATCGGCCGCTGTTCAGTTGCACATTTCATAAAATTCAAATTCGCGTACATAGTGATTAGCTGTTGTTACCTCTGATATCAAGTTTATTCGAATTCTGTTTTGCGRAATTTTTAAGTATCCTTACTCGAGGACYAAATTATTTTTAAATGCTTCGATTTTTTAACACTATTTATTTATATTAGTGACCCATTACATTACTAACTAATTTTTTTCAAACTCAAATCGCCCGTTTATGCATTTGAGTTTTGTTTTTGAAAATGTTGCGATATATAGGTAATATAAGTATCTACATCGAAATTCGAACCAATAGTTTTCGAGTGAATCTCTCAATCACCTATACATAACCTAATAATACATATAACATATTGCATACCCATATAAAATATTGAAATAACAATTATTCGTCAAGAGCAAATGTATGTATCTATACGTTAAGTATTAATATGTATATAAAGTATAATATAAATTATACAGCAAAGACGGCTGATGGGGGAGCTGATATTACGTACATGATTAATGATTAATAAAATAACGTCACGAAATGGATTCGTTTTGAGTGTACGGTTTTGACTTTAAGTGACTTTATATGTGCGCAGTAAATAATAGTTGTCTGTGATCTCGACGATCGATCTGCAGACTACCATATTCATGAGTTTTTGATGCATTTTTATAAAATATGATATATTACTATACACTATACCGTGTGATTCGCATAAAATTATAAAATTGTAAAATAATGAGGTAGTGGTACGATTTATTATGATATATTATACAATAATAATTTTGGATTAATATAACATTATTGCAATGCATGTACCTAAAACAAAGTGACAACGTACTATACCTGAATCTCCAACGACCTCATTGAGTTCAGATCGTAACAAAGAAAATGAAGAACATCTATTAACGAAAAATTATGGAGAAAACGTGTACGAGAACAGTGCATGGTATTCGGCTTGTGTTGGTTATATGACATATGTGTAGAACGCAGATATTTTTAAACGTTGATAAACGTGACAGAAAAATACTAACGGTACTGATCCAGTTATCAAATCGAAATTTGAAACAAATTCCGCCATCAATAGTGCAGAATGGAAAGCATACAACTGCCTTAGCCTTAGGTATATTACAATAACTATCGATGTAATAATTTTTTCAAACAAAATCATTTTGAACTTAATATAACTTTACATTTTATATTCCTATATTAACGAAAAATACTGAAAATAATTAATAATTTTAGCGCCATTAAATAAATTTTTATAAAAAATATTATTGAAAAATGCTTATTACGTAAATTATTATACAACAATATACACACGCGTAATTAAGATTTATACGGATTAATATATAAAAGTGTTATATACTTAAATAATGCAATTTCCTATGAACTAAAACATATAGGTATAATTTTAATTTAAATAAATAATAATTATGATTAAATTATTATAAAAACGTGTTATACTGCAGGTCAAAGTTTAAAAGAAATAATTACGTTCATGTAATATGGACATTCATTTCATATAACAGCACACAATTACCTATCGAGTTTTGATACGGAATTATCGATACCGATGATTTGTATTACAATATACTAATATTGAGTTTAATATTTGCTGGAGTTATCTTTTGTTTTGTAGACGCAAGTACGTAGTATGCTGCCCCATGCATTCGTGTATTTCAATACAAATCGAAATTAATTGCATTCGTTAAATAAAATAATGTACCTATATAAGTATATTATAATAGAATATGTTTTAAACACGCTGTACCGTACACGTTATTCGACTATCAAATTATCAAGCCTTGAGGTACTTGCCTATACAAATATACACAATAGTTGATAAACTTTGTATGTTTAAAAGGTCATACATATACTCATATGTTATTCTGATTACTGATACAATGTGGCTGSGATTAGGTCAAGTAAGAGATTTTAATGTTAATAAGGTTTKCCGTTTAGTATAATACACAATACAATATTGGGTATACTTAAATTATAAATTAAATTCTTAAACTATTATTTTATTTTTCTGTTATATTGATCATACAAAACTCTTTTCTAGAACTTCTTTATTAGGTTGTATTATATTATCGTACAAGATTAATGATGATGCGATTCATGTACTAAATACATCATACGAACGACGAATCCATCCTTTTACCACTTTTATCGCCAATCCCAATCTCCCTTAATATAGGATAGTAATATGTTAACAGAAAAATAAAAACCCACTAAATGGATTATCTAAAATCTATATCCATTTTAATAAATCTTTCCTTATGCTTTAAGTAGGTACCTCAAATGATTCATAGGTTTAGAAGTGTCTAGACACTCTAGACTCTATAGATAGTATAGCTACTTAATTCAGAAACCAAAAATGACAAGTTATACATATAATACAATAAAAGTTATTATTTCTAATAATTTATTAAGTTCATRTTTCTCTTATTTGGATAAATTAAATATCAAAAGTAGATGCTATTACGATAGTATTCAGTTAATGCAATGTAATAAGTAATAACTAACCAATGTTATAATTCTTAATTAACATTTAAAAAAAAATTTTCGTTAATATTATTCTTAGAATTTCTATAATTTATAATTAGACGTCCAATCATAGAAATGTTTATTGAATAAGGAATGTTAATACAAGATAATAAATGAAGTTTTTAAGTATCACCTATTTACGAAGAATGAATAGACGGTCTTTTTTTTAGATTAAAACCATTTGGCATTCCTATATTACAATTATTGCAGTARAGTAAGATTCATAAAGTCACGCGATGTCGAAACCGTGCCTGCTATTTTCAATAAATGTTTTCTACGATACTGGTATATATTTTATAAAACATAAAGCAATAAAATCGAAATCAATATTTCTTAAGTACTTTATCCTGTCAAACGTTTGTTGACGATGGCCTATTTTTTATTAGCCAGAGAAAAATAATAAACAAATTTAAAAATGTATTATTTAAAAGTAATATTTGGGACATGCAGAAATCATTTTATTGAAAACAATATTATTCGCTTCACAAATAACTAATACATGATTAGTTTATCGTTGTTCATTCAATCAATACCAAGATAGTTATTGGTTATGTTTGTTATGAACCTATTTGATAAGTASTTCATAACTCCTAAATCCTGCAAGGAGACTGAAGTATCGACATTTTAGATGAGTAATATAAAAAAATATAGATTAATTACTATAGGTATCTACATACTATAAATATCCTAAATAATCTATGTTTTGGGCGTTCATAACTTATATAAAAAAATAAATTGTTTAACGAAAAACCGACATTTCTGAAGGTTTATAATGATTTTAGGAGCGATAAAAATAGCCTTATATAATCGATCTATACGCATATGTAGGTACTACTATACAGTGTTATAAATGGTTTGATTCATCTTAAATTAATAGCTAATATAAATTTGAAAAGTTATACTTGAAAACATTCTGTGAATAAATGGATAAGGATTTGGCATTCATTTCTTTTTAAATAAAATACCAACAAATTTATTTTGCTGTATAGACGATTTCAAGTGTATATATTATTTAGTTTCBTTCGTCGTTGAGTAAAGAGAATGTTATTTTAATTCAATAATAATTAATTTATAGTTCCACTCAGAATCTAATCTAATACATTGTCCATTATACTATAATTTGTATGGACTTACATTTTTTAAATTTAATCATAGGGGATAGACTAGTGAAGGACATTGTGTGTAGTGGTGAAATATATTTAGCTCAAAAGAAATCTATATTAAACTCGATATTAAATATTTTATTGTTATAGAATACTACATTTTTATACTTTAAAACTGAATTCCTCGTAGGTTATTATAATTAATTGATTCATAATTGTAATTGTACTGTATCAAAGTAACAACATGAAAAATAATCAAAGATACTAACCCCTTAATTGA